GATGGCATGCCTCTTGCTATGAAACACGACCAACAGGTGCGCGAATATAGTGCTTATTGTCACTGTCACTTTTTTAGCTATTCAAGTATTATCTGATCATGCATAAATTAGTTTATAGCTTTAAATGGTTATTCAGAAGAGGTAGATTTATATATTTATTTTAGCTTAAACTTTTGTTAAATGCATTTTCTCAATGTACAAAAAGACACAGTTATGAAAACATCATTACATGCTCTCTCTAGATATGAGTCTATGTTGTCTCCTTAGCCTGTTAGCTGCACTAGGCCATGTAGACCCAGATCAATTTTTGTCTATAGATGTTTTCTGTATATTTAAGGCATAACTCTAAAAGAAAAAAAAAAACAAAACAAAAACAAAACTGAAATCCTATAGCTGGATTAAGCTATTTTGAATAGTTTTTTTTTTTTTTCAATTTATCTAGATTATTCAAGCTATATATTTACTAAAGTATATAAAATTACATTATATTGTGAAGGACAAGAGTTATGTACAACGTAACATAAAGCTACAGAGGAATCATAAGTAAAATTCCAGGGGAGATGAATCCTCCTTTCCTAGTACATTATACATGTACATGTACTTTGATACTGATTAATATTAAAACACTACATAAGGTACGAGAGGGGGTGCTATTATTGAGCACTTTTACTAAAAAAGATGGTACCGGTACTAAAACTAGAAAGAGTGAATTGTAATGATATCAGATCATTTAATATGTACAATGAACATACGTGTAAAATGTATGATTCTGTAAACCTCACTATAGAAATGAAATTCCGTAGATAGGGTGTATGATTCATTGTTAAAATGACTTTCTAACCTGTTGATTGAGGGCAGGTCCCAGGACACAGATTGTTCTTTCTTATTATAGTAAATATTGCTGTGAACAAGTCATATTTTTGCTATAATTAGAAAAATACACTTAAGTTCTAGCTTTTTTTAATGAGTATTAACAAGTTTTGAAATTAACTTGCACTTTTTGTAGCGTTTATTATAAAAACAAAGAGTTTTAAATAATATTCAAAATATATTTTAAAGGAAATTTATACAATGTAGTAATATTACATGCATTCACATTGATGATCAAATAGAGATGTCAGCTCACTTATCGATAAAATGTATGTATTTCTTATTACATAGGTTTGACCATCATATATCATAATGAAAAAAATATTTTAAGAAAAACTCTATTGTAGAGAAAAAGCCATTGCGGCTACAGGAGATCGAGGAATTCAGCTGGCCTCTGATTGGTGAGTTATGTTTAATTGTATGGATACTCGTACAAATGCAGCTTTTTTGAGTTCAAAACTATTTATATCTATGTATAAATTTAAAGTCTGTTCAAGCTGATTAAACTGATTAAAATTATTCTTTTTATCTAAAAGAATAAGTACTCTGTTCAATGCACTGGCAAATATGTATTTAACATATTGAACAATATTATAATAGAACATCAGTTTATTCATATTAAACAACTATTTATAACACATACAGTGTGGAACATTTCCTTAGATCAAAGTATCATAGAATTCCAAGAAGCTGTTTAAAGAACAATATATCTTTTTTAAAAGAGATCGAAGTTTGCCATAACATCCCCTTCCATTGCCTTCTTTCCTGTATTTGACAGTTATACTATTTCAGAAGGCTATTTTTAGGTGTTTTTCAGTATTACATTCTACCTAGGCTGCGATGGTCGTCCATCTCATTGGTAGACTGGGGATGGGGTCTGGGTTCATCCTCACATTCCTGTAGATCATGTTCAGTTCAACTGAATTTCCTTAGCTTTGTTTTTTTATGTGGTAGATGGTGCTATGTCCTATGTTGTTTTACTTCTCATTTAATCTGGTCCAAAGATACATTTCATATTTTTCTCTATGATTCTGCACTGCATTGGATTCCAAATATATTACAGACTTCTTGCTTTTAGTCAGAAATTTTGACCCTGCGTGCAAATTTAAGACTTCCAAAACTAAAGTGCATAGTACTCACACGTGATACTTTATTTAAGTATACTTTTGATTTGGTGCCACGTCAGAAGTAAATAAGGAGTCCATAGGGACATTAAGCTAGGCTCTTAGTTCTTGTAGGGGTATAGTGCACCATCTTTGCTAGCCAAGAAAGAAGAGAAGAGCGGATCTTCATCCTTGGCTAGCGGATCTTCACCCTTAGCTAGCAAAGATGATAGTGCACAGGAACAACATTCTTAGTGAAAAATCATACTAGATCACCAGACGATACAGAGTGTACCTATATTCAACAGATTATAAGACAGTTGTATACAGTGTATATACAAATTATAATTCAAAAATTTTTAAATTATTTGAGAGGCACCTGTTAAACTTAATCATTCAATTGGTTTTGCCAAAGTTGACTGTCATAAAATACTATGATCTGTCTTGTTGTTACAATTTTTTAAATTAATATTTCAAAACAGTAGTGGAATGTACATTACTATACATGTATTGTTCAGAGATTTTGACCCTTTGTAGTGTATTACATACCAGTACATGTATACATATAAATAGCCCAAGAGTGTGTCAGGCAGGAAAATGGAGACTGGTACTTCTTGATTTAGCAATCTTACCTATAAATAATCATATATATATAATCTATTGCTGTGTTTAGGTTTCAATTCTTCCTGAAAATAAGGAATTGATGAATCTGGAAAGTGAAATGAATTTTCAATATTCAGTCAAACAGAGTTCAGAATTAAGACCTTTATATCCATTCAAAGATTGCTTACATGTATCAAAGTGTGTGCATAAAAATTCATTGTCATATTTTCCTTGTATTCAAGTGAACATGATTTCAGTAAGGAAAATTTCACTGTCATTAATAAACTGTGACATTTAATGTACTTTTGACCCTGATTCAGCAATGATAAGATATTTGAACGATACCATGAGTAATAGAGCAGGAAGAATGCTCTTAAGCTACTGCTTGACATGGAGATTTCAATGGCTCTCCTTATAAAAAAAACAGGGCTTTTGTAAGAAAATGTGGCAATGTTATTCATTTTTGTGCTCTCAAACAATTCAATCATAATGCAGTGTTGTTGAGGAAAACTGATTCATATTTTTTTTTTTTCATTTATACACGTATTTACTTGTGTACATATGTAACATTTATTATATGGTCCCCTTCAAAGAATGGAGGGTATATTGCTTTGCTGCTTTCTGTTGGTCCACCATCAGTTTACATTCATTTTATTTGCAGAGGTTGCACATATTGAAATGAAATTTGTATACAGATTTATCAGAAAAATATCTAGGTCAAGATCTGTTTTGGGCACAATCAGACAATTTTGGACAAAGTCATGACCCTTATACTTATAAAATTAGGATAATTTGCAGTTTCCATTCATTTTCTTTGCACAGGTTACACATGCTCAAATAAAATGTGGTATACAAATTTATCTTAAGAATATCTAGGCTACAAGTTTTGGGATCAAGCCATTTTTGACAGAGTTACGCCCAGCTTGGACTTAGAAAAATTCCAATTAATTGGAGGAAGGAGACATTAGTGTTTTACAAACATTTCTTGTTTCTTTTGTCTCTATCTTTATATCTGTGTTACACTTTAATTTAACTTGTCACACTTCAGATTCAAGATGATGTCTCCTCTTAAAGGCTAGTAATAAGACTTAAAATACACTGTCAAATGTGTCTTAGCAGTAAATTGGTCTTCTCTGTTATATGTGATGTTATATATGTGACCTGGAAAACTGCATCCCATTAATCCTATACCTAGCTCTGTAAACTTGAAAGGAAATTTTCACCTTCCTTTGAGAGAAGTTATTTCCCTTTGATTATTCACTTAAGATATTAAGTAAAAAGGTGTAGCGGTAATGGACCATATTTTTAATTATTATTTTTGGCCCATGGACCTCATATTTGAAGAAAAAAAGATTGTTATAATTAATTCAAGCATCTTGCTGTGAAGATGTTTTAAGATTTTCTTATTTATTAGGTCACAAGAGGACTATGATCTCCCTTTGAGTAGGAGTAAGATTACTAGCGTAGCTTTGGTCCCTTGCATATTTTTTCTTGCCAGATATTTGACTTATGGAAAAAAAAGAAGATCATTAAAAGTTTATAGCAGCTGTCAAAAGCCTCTGATATCTTAATTGTCAGTAAAATACATCCTTGTTCTGTCTATTGTATATGAATAGAGATAGAATACCTTTGTTAGGATTGTCACCTGTATAAAGATATGTATTCATTTTGACTTCACAGAAAAGCATATCCACTGAGCACGAAATTTGTACCTAGTACATAATTATATGCATATCTAACGTATTGTACAGAGATACGTTGTCATACCTATCTTTTATGGAAGAAATATTAGACAGAAGAATCATACATATTTCTATGGTACACCATGACTTGGCAATTGAAATTAACTGTATTACAGTGTACATTATTGTCAGTATTAAAGATTGAAGGTGATAGGGCTATATATTGTAGTTTTCCATATCAATTGAATGCCTCTAAGTCCCACACTTAGGTATTTTTTTGCACTTCTAGACTTATGAGATCTATATCAATAATGCTAGGATGATAGGGAGATCATGATGAAAAGATATGCACCAAGGAGAATCTTCAGTGTTTGTGTTAAAGAAATTAAGGGTTCCAGAGACTTTCACTTAAAGGGGAGAAACCTTATGCCAGGCATTTACATTTGTATGATCACATTTCAAAAATATTGGATGGGAGATTTTATAGGTCTTTAACCATTTCATGACTTTGATGTATTGACCTGGACAAGACCCAGGATGAGTTGTCAATATTTGTTATATTGACCTGCATATAACCCATGGTCACCTCTTCATAATTTAGAGATATACAGATGTATTGGCCTTCATAAGTCAAATGTTGGTCTATATCCTCCCAATATACAGTAATTTATATTAAAAAGATATGTTGATTGAGAGAATACAGGTATTGCAATGCATTCAAAGGTTATATAATTAAATATTTAATTGGTATCAAATATGCAGTATAACTAGTGCTAATTGTAACGGGGACCGTTACAGATGTTCCCCAAACGCTCCCCAACTCCCTTTTGGTGCCATATTCCCTGTAAGCTTCATTAAATAGGACAAAATCTATGCATTTGAGACTTAAACAACGCCAAGTTCATTCAAATTTTAGCATTGCATGCGTGCGCATGTGAATGCGTGTGCGTAATGACCATATCATCTTGTCTACACAATCTATATATTTTTTATATACTAAATATTAAAGTATTTAATCCAAAAGTATTAAAAAAATACGCTCATTCAGGTGTATTTTTGATTTTACTCATTTCACGTGCACACACGTGCATACATGAGCATGGTGACCATACCTTCTTGTAGAAGTCCATTACATCTATCTATGTTCTAAATCCCACCCCGTGTGGTTGAGAACCAAGGGAGTTATAGCTGTTTCAAGTTTCAGCCAATCAGATTACAGCGCACGTACATGAACGTGTATGCATGTGCATAGTGACCATACCTTCTTTTAGAAGTTCATTATATCTATCTATGTTCCAAATTCCATCCTGTTTGGTTGAAAACCAAGGGAGTTATAGCTCTTTAAAGTTTAAGCCAATCAGATTGCAGCACACGTGCATGCACGTGTTTTCATGATAATTGCTATACTAGTATATCATGTTGTAGGATATCTTAATGCATAGCTATGTTCAAAATTTCATAGGATTTCGTCGAAAAACAAGAAAGATATAGAGACTTTAGTTTCAGCCAATCAGAGCGAAGCGCACGTGCATGCACGTGAGGTCTTGCTATTTTGACCATGTCATCTTGTCTACGCTACTAATATATCCTTACATTATAAATTTCAAAAGATTTCATCCAAAAATAGAAAAGTTACTGCTATATCCAATATATTGGTCATTTCACGTGTTGCACGTGCGCGCTCTTGCAAGCATGTGCGCGCAAAATGGCATGTTGACAATGTCATCTTATCTACATTTATAATATGTCTATATATTCTAAATATCAAAGCATTACATCGAAAAATGTAAAAGTTACGGCAATTTCAAGTATATTGGTCATTTCACGTGTTGCACGTGCGCGCTCTTGCAAGCACGTGCGCGCAAAATGACCTTCGTTCCGCAAATCTACATAACATGCCTACTTACCCTAAAAAGGTTTCCCCTTAATCGGATGTGTACTTTACAAGATCATTCGCGGACAAAATTTTCCCGAGAAGAAAAATAATAATAATAATAACTAGTGCTAATTGTA